TGACTAGTACAGAGCCACTCTGATTTTCTTGGGAAACCTTGAGCACCTTCATATCACAGAAGAGAAGGAAAAGTAAGTGTTTTCTAGCTTGTTGCTGAGAGGCAAACCACGTGAGACACATAGTTAACAGACACTTTAATGCAGAGGCCTTTTCCACTGCATATGAATTACAATATTTTCATGCTGTCCACGAGAAAACAATGTGCAGCTGATCTCGGGTGCCTATGCCATCCTTATGGAAGGACACAACTCCAAAGGGAAAACTGTAGTGACTGGGAGGATTCAGAAGAGCTTGACCAACCTATACATATAGTGATAGGACATGCAATGGTTAAAAGTTAGGGGTGAAAATTTAACCTCGTTGTCAGTGATCTTGTCTGGAGAACAGACCTGAGCTTTGCTCTTGATTCCTTGATTAATTCCTGACATTTTTAAAAACATGAAATATAAAACACATAAACAGTCCTGATGGCCATGGCCAGAAACAATCAGAACTTCGGAGGGGAATGGGATATCGGAGATGAGCAAGGTGTTGCCACTTATTGAATAACACAGGTAGCATTTTACTGCAGCTCCCCTCTAGGACCTCCTCTGTCCCCAGCACCTCAGCATCGAGGCTCTACAGCACCCACCTGGATTTTCATTGTTTGATATCTTATATATACTTTTTATAGTTTTTCTTTAATATAAGATTCAGAATCAGGTCATCCATATGCTGATCCACACTTTGCTTCCTTGAGAAGTTATATTCCAGAAGTGTTATTTTTTGGCCAGGACAACGGGTAGATATCCCAAATATTTGAAGTTCCTGGGAATGATAAAACTCATCTATTTTGAAAGACACTGAAAATAAGAGGAAAGCCTAAATCAAAGCAAGTACCAAATGGTGGGTAACTAAGCAGTTGTCATCTCGCCCCCTCTTAGCCTGCTCACATCAGCATTACGAGCTGTACCTGTTTAAATAAAATATAGGCAAGTATTCTCAAACCACTGTATCCAATAAATTCACTTTCCTACCTCAATAGCTCTTAGGAACACCATAAGGACCACACATTCCCTCCTCCCCCCCATATTAAGTGTTCTTTAAAATCAGTTAGTTTTAAAAATACTGCCTTGCCTCTCTCTTTTTCTACATTCCCTAACACACAAAAAAAAAAGACAAGACACAAAAATTCAGAAAAATAAATAACCAAAAATGTGAGATAAGGTGGTAAGTGTATTTGGAAGCTCAGAGTTATTTCAGAGAGCTGCTTTTCAATCCTATCAAATGCATTAGGTATAAGTTTGAAGTCAATACTTTCTGCCAACACTTTGTTGAGCTAGAAAGCTGTCTGCTATCCCTTTTATCTGCGAGATAAGTAAATAACTCACTGGCTTAAGCAAATTAAGTAAATAGTGTTTGTGGGCAGGTGTTTTTGTTCAGCATGTAGTATATAAATGTGTATTAATTCTGCTAACTTTGAGAAATGTTGATGCAGAGGAAGAGGTTATAGCAAATGTACAGATTAAAACAGAAACATTTGTCAAAAAGAAAAGTGCATAAAAGCGCACAGTAAACAACTAGATGAGTTTGCTGAAGCCAAATGCTCACATTTAGTAAATGAAATGCTTCATTAATCCTTCCTGACAGAAGTAATGCTTGGAATGGAGAACAGATCTTAGAGAAAACATTCAGATAAGTTGTGTCCTGCAGGTTTTCCTGGGCAGCCCAGGGAGGAACTGCAGCCTCTCCCCGCTGTGGATGGGCAAGGAGGGGTGTTATGGAGGCAGATGCCTGCTGCTCCCATTCCCGCAACCTCCTCCTGCTGTCAAAATGTCTGAGGTTGATGACAGAGCAGCGGGAGGAGCTATCAGTTGTGTGGGTTGCCTTCCTACAGATGCTTCTGATCCCTGTGAGCTATGCACCAACTGTGGTCCAGCTGCTAAAAACGTGCCATGAGAGAGTCATCCCCGTGCTGGGTCCTGCACTGGCAGTATGACAACCACTTACCACTGCAGCACTTTTGCTTTGAGGGCTACCCAGAAGCAAATCACATAGTGGTGGCAAATCCCCTTACTCCAAGTGAACCATCAAGCATTGGGTGCATTTTTGAAGGAGCCCTCAGAGCACTGTGATTAACTGCATGCCTCAGCTTTACCTTTAAACAGTACGTTTCTGTTTCTGAAGGTTGGGAAGAAAAGCTTGGAATTAGCTCTTGAGTCTCCCAGGTGAGTTGCTTAGGTCTTGAGACACAGGTTGCCAATGAAATTGGATTAATCTTCTCTGAGATCTAAGCAAGATGGGGATGACTGGCATAGGACAGTGCTTTCAAGGAAATCAAATCCTCATCCAGAGCCTTTGTCTGAATGTACATCTCATGGCATGCGTCTTAGCTGCAGCACTACTCTTCTGTTTGCTATGTCCAGCTCTGTAGCAGTGCCTAAAAGCAACACCCTCCTCTTTCATTAGTAAACAATTTTTCACAGGAGTGACCTCACCTCAGTAAATTGGGCCTCTTGGCTTGCCTATAGCAATGCAACATCCCTGGTATGAAGCCTAAAGCGATCCCTGTACACCACCTGCACAGAAGGCTATGGCACGGCTTGCTACCATTATCCCTGAAATGCCTTCCGTGGAATTCCTTATCAGCTTCCCAGTCTCTGTGTCTTGGGCTGTTCCACGAGGAGGCCCATGTACATACCAGATAAGCTAGAGGGCCAGGATGAAGGTGACAGACGGTGACGCTGCTCAACTGAGGCAGCAATGAAAGAACTCATCTGTGTGGCAAACTGTAGATAGGGCTTGCATAGGGATAAGGGCCGTTACGGGCCTCAGTAAGGTGATCTATGAAGTCATCTTTACCAGTGGTTGGTGTCCCTGGAGCCAAGGTCCCACCACCTGAACAGGGATGAAGCTACTGCAGATTCCCCCTGAGATGGGAGGTGAAAGACATTCATCTCTCTCTTTTCTGCCTGGCTGTCATCCTAACACCTTGCCTTCAAGACCATTGTCCCACAGTCAAGTTAGATTGAAAGTAAGCAGATGGTCTGGTTGTGTCTGGGGTGGTGAAATGACATTCATAAGCCCTGTGTTGTGAAAATCAAGCTGAAAATAAACAGGCTCTGAGTCAAGATACTCCTTTGCACACACTTCTTCCTCGGGGTAGAGGAGGAAAGTGCAGTGATGTGACAGATTCCAGTCACTTTGCTTTGTGTATTTCTGGAAGGAGATTAGATACTGCAATGAGAAGAACAAAGTAAGAACTTGAACTAAGTACTCATGTCTTCTGCCTTCCTGAGAGATGGACTGAGGGAGCACTGTAGGGAGAAATCTGGGATGAGAAAAGGGTAACACTGTCCCTTTTCTCAGCATAGAAAGCTGTGAGATGTTCTCCTGAACAAAGGAAGCTTTAGCAGGAAAAAGGGCTAAAAATCTAGGGACAGAGAAGTACTGGAAAATCAGCTGGGAAATGGACCAGAGCAAGTTGTTCCAAGGAGCCATCATCATCATCATCATCATAACCCTTGGGAAAAGATGGGGATGCAGAGGCAAGAGCTGTGGCCAGCATTGAACCACCACCCCATCCTACCAAGAAGCCAGTCAAGCTCCTGCCCACATTATGGTACATGCTGTGGTGTCCTTAAGCAAGTATGTCAGTAAAATGCTTTTTGGCTGAAGGGAGCTTCAATAGATTGTCTGACTTCTTACATGTTTCAGTACAGGATAGTGAAGAATAACACAGATTCCACTGGAAACCTTCCTACCAGAAGTTGATCTTGCAGCAGATGTGAGCTAACGCCATATGGCAGCTGGGGTGTTCACCTGAGCTTGCAGTTTTGTGGTGCATGGCGAAGTGAACCATGCTATGGTCAGTGCTGCAGCAACTGAGGCGCACTAACAGAAGTCCCTCTGAGTCTGGCAGCTCTATTTTGTAGCTTACTTTGTGCTGCAACATGCAAATAGAACTTGCTCTGCCCTCTGATGTTTATCTAAATTTCGCATGTGTTCGCAGCTCGTAAGAGAAAATGACAAATTGGGAAAATATTTGTTTTCACATAAGCCAAAAGACTATTACAGCAGACAGCCAGACAGACAGTGTAAGAGCCAAAGCCTGAGCTTTTCTACACTCTGTGCCATGTACATACTCAGTTTTACCTGCCTAAAGGGTAACAAGGAAGTCAGTCAATATGCTGCCTTAATCACTGCAGTTTCTCTGCATGAGGACTACTCATTGCATCCCATTGCAAGGCTTTGGAATACCACCCAAAAAGGTAGGTTGAAATCATCCACCACATTTCATTTACCCCTGCTAACTGAATCTAAACAAATTGAAAAATGACCTGCCAGCTACACTTGGAGGCATACAGCAGAAAATAACTCTGCAATAGCTGCTTATGTTCACTGGGGAAAGATTTATTTCTGATCTCAGAGCTTGAGTTGCAGAGGTAAACAGGGCCACCTGTAAACCATTACCTGCCATGCCCCACTGCCCCTGTATGAAAAAACACACAGGCATTGCCTGGAGTGGAGTTAGTCTAGTAAATGACCAGGAAAATGGAATGTTTTCTCTCAACAAGCAACAAATGAAGAGGAGCTGCTGCATCTGAAATGATGCTGCCTTGTTTACCTTCAGGTCCCAGCTCTTGGTGAAAGGCTCATGACTCTAGAACTCACTTCCTGTCCTCCTCTAGTGCAACACAAGGCACTTTGCCCTTTGCTTCATATTGCAGGAGGGTTTTTGGTGAGGACACAAGCTGACCTATTATACAAATGGGTTGAAAGGGCTCTACGCTGATGAACAGCCAGAAGGACTCTGTGTATTACCACAGCTAATTGCCTTTTTGCTTACTTATCACCTGTTTAAGTTGTGGGTTGTTTTTTGTATTTATTAGCTGATTTTGGTACCATGAGATTACAGATGTCATGGAAATCACAGAAAAAGCAGACCTTTAAAGAGTGCTTGTAATACCTTTCTGGATATTTTTTTAATTTGCCTTTCTTCCTTCTCTGAGTCCTGTAGGCAGCAGGTGGTCTTTGGAAGATGTGTTTTAAGGAAGTAAGCACTTGAATACCTATAAAGAATATAGCAATGGAAAAACACCTCCCGGTGTCTCACCCTCAGCTGAAAGGATACATAAAAGTGCTGGTCCCACATCTATACTGGCTACTGGAAAAAGAGCACAGGTACATGAACCTGCCCTGGGACTCCAGAAGTAGAAGGAAAAGAATAAACCCTGATGAGGAGGTCAGGAGGGCCCAGCACCTGGGAGCAGCATGATTATCCATGGGGAAAGAGCCTGGAAAGTCAGCACCATGTACCCTGCTGTTTCACAGGAAGCTTCTCCTGAGGGACGGCCATGGTGCTGGATATGAAAGATGAGGTGGTGTTGTTGGTGAGTCCTGGTACCTCGGTGCTGCCATCGTAACTCTCCATCACTCAATAGCCCTTCAGCTCTCCCCTGAGCCACTCAATTCCATTAGCAGCATGTCTGGCATTTGTTGCCACACACCTTTCTTTTTCTTCTGGCATATATGTAACCCCTATTGGCCTTGATACTGGTGTGACACGCAAACAAGTTACATAAAGTCTCTCCAGGTGCATTTTCGCATATCACAAGTCCCCTATAATTCATAGTCCAATATTTGAAGAGGGTGGCTGGATTCAGCATTGAGTCAGATCTCCCTTGAGAGGATTAGATCTTACAGTGCTGTGGTACCCATGCCCCATTTTCAGTCCTCTCTACTGTCTTCCTAAAAAAGAATCTGTATGTTTCTGGTTTGAACATTTTGCTTTTGTTTTGAGGCTTATTAAAAATTGAGAACCAGGTGGTATCAGCATGTGGGAACTGGGCACATGCCTCTTCCATCATGTGGTGCCACCAGCTGAAAAGGGGGAAATACAGGCTTTGCAGTTATTTGACTCTGTTCAATGCTGATTCCACTGCCAGCTTGAAAAGCTGCTTCTTTTCTGTGGTATCTCTAGCCTGTGAACTATGTGAGTTATGTCAAAAACCTTGCAATGTTTTCCACAATAACCTTGCATGTAGGTGGCAAGCAAAGCCCAGTCTGTGCGTGCTGAAGACTGGGCTGAGCCTGTTCCTCTTCACTGCTGCTCAGACTAGGCACAGAAAAAATCAAAACAAAGAAATGTTTCAGGGTGCGGCCAGGAAATGTTGAGGATTTCAGTGGCTCAGCTGGATCCTCATCCCCGATAAACTGCTTCTGAGATCTTGAGGCGACTGGACCATAGACCAAAGGAGCCATTGAAACAAGGCTCTTTATTGAGATGTGTTTATTTCCTCAGGTGTCTCTATGCATCATTAGAACACAAAGTGTGCACATAATTCATGTGCAGGCATGCTGTCCTGTCAAAGCAATATCAGCAACACGTGGACTGAACCCCCCCAACATCCCTGCCTGCTCCAGCAAGAGCAGGTTTTGTCCCTAGGAGTGGGAAGCCGGTATGTGAATTGTACAGATCCATCAGAATAAACTGATCTCAGTTGTTCCTCACCATTTTCTCCCCAAAACAAAAGTATTTTGATTATTTGAGTGTCAAGCAATCAAATACTGTCCCTCAGACACAGCTATTCCAGGAGATAATTAGAAGCACAGAGGAGCAAACAATATGCCACAGAAACGATCATTGCAGTGTGATCCAAAGGATAACTTTGATAATGCAAGTGTTTCTTTGCTGGATGACTCACAGAAGGAAGCAGGGACTGGAGCTGCTGAAAAAGGAGCCTGCTCCATGGGAACATAGAGTGAAGGTCAAGGATCAACTGTGTAAAACCAACTTTTTGTTTGAAGTTAATAATCTTAAGGAAATGGATGGAGTGAGAGCAAATGTCAGCTCCAGTAATGACTATGTAACTCTGGGACCGTATAGGAAAGTGATAGTCTAGCTCACACACTGCTGGTGGAAATAATGGGGAGAGGTGAGCTGAGAATTCAAGCCTCACTTTAATGTTTTCTTTTGAGTTTCTGATTTATCGATGGGACAGACAGCTAATATTTAACTCTCTGTATTAGCATATACATATAGCACATATGTATATATGTAATACAGCATATATATAGCACATATGCAATTTTTACCGTTCTCTTTCATCTGTGTAGCTTCCCAAAGCTGTACAAACCCCATCATCTCAGTGATACTGTCGCTTATTAAATTTTTTAGAAGTATAAATGTCTAATAGTTTTTATGTTAAGGTCCAACTTTCATGCTATGGAATTTAATGCAAAACATAAATATTTTAGAATAATGTACATACTATATAAGAATACGTGCTAAATTGTTAAATTTTGCACGTACATGTTGGTTTGGTCTGGGGTAGAGTTAATTTCCTTCACAGTAGCCAGTATGGGGCTATGTTTTGGGTTTGTGCTGGAAACAGTGCTAATAACACAGGGGTGTTTGCTTTTACCTATTTAAGCTGCCTTTATCTCAACCCATGAGTTTTCTCACTTTTACCCTCTGGTTGTTTCTCCCATTGCACCAGGGGGGAGTGAACAAGAGGCTGTGTGGGGCTAATGGCTGGCTCAGGTTAAACCACAGCAATCCTTTTTGTCACCGACATAGGGCTCCAGGGGTGTGAGATAATGACAGATTTGATTGGAATGTGTTAGATTGAATTTACAGCTTTATTGCTGTCTAGCTATTAATTAATAGGCTCCTGTGCTTGCCGTTGGGCTTGCTTGCCTTACCAAATATCAGAATCTAGTGCTGGTTAGCGGCTGCTTTTTGCTTCTGCTGCTTGCTGCGTTGCTGTGCTGCCTATCTTACTCTGCTGTGCCCGGGAACATTCTGATAACAGCAGTGGCGATGCTCCCGGGTTGAAAGGTGGCCAGGACATGGCTGCTCTTTCTGTGCTGCTGTACTGGACAGGCTGGAACTCCAGTGTGAACTCGAGATGAAGGGTTTGTGACCTGTGGATGAGCCACCACAGGAGCAAGACCCCCCAGATGTGTTTGGCTATGGATATGATGTACCAGAGGAGGTACATCTCAAAGCGTTTGAGGCTGTGGTTACGTCTGTGCCACAGCCAGGTGTAACTCTGAAGGGACTGTGGCCCATGGATAAGTCCATGCTGGAGAAGGTACATGTTGAAGCATCTGTGGTTGTGGATAAGTATCTTGAAGTATCAGTGGCTTTGCATGAGGTCATGCTGGATCACCTCAAAGCGTGTGGCCATGGATAAGCCCACAACAGAGCAGGTGCATCCCTGAAGAGGCTATAGCCATAGGTAAGGCCATGTTGAAGCAGGGTCACTCCTGAAGCTGAAGCAGGAGCAGTGGGAGGAGATAATTGCAATGACAAACCCTATGGCCTGATCCGGAGGGACCAGGGGTGGAGATTGTAATGGAAATACCTTCAAATTGTTGTAACCTGGGATGTGAGTTGTGTGCTGTGGGAATTACTACAGCAGGAGCCCCCTGTTGCTAACTTCTTAACCAGACTAGGAACAAGGCGAGGAATGTTCATTGTTATGTTAAACCCTATGGTCTCATCCAAAGGAACCAGGGATGGAGGTTATAATGGAAATACCTTTAAATTATTGTAATCCATGATTTGCATCACATGGTACAGGAATTACTATAGCAGGAACTACCTGAACCAATAGAGGACAAGCCTTACAAGAAGCAGTGCAAGTGCAGCAGTGACCCAACCTGAGTTGGCATTGGTGCCCAGTAACCCCATGCCCCACAACACCTCTCCTATCTGACTGACCACCGTAACAGACAGAGCCCAAAGTCATGTACTAAATGTACTTGGCTGACATTTTGCTGACATTTCTGGACACTTTACAGGCGTTTTACAGGGTGATCCATAGACTAGGGGAGTGATAGCTGTGTATTATAACAAAGCATGGGAAGGGGGATAGTGGTTAATGAGGATGTCCTGGATAGTGTGGGACCTGAGCGTGATGTAAATGGTATGAAATAAGGGGTGGAGAATGTGCTGGTTTTGGCTGGAGTAATTTCCTTCACAGAAGCTAGTATGGGGCTATGGTTTGGATTTGTGCTGGAAACAGTGCTGATAACACAGGGGTGTTTTAGCTAATGCTGAGCAGTGCTTACGCAGAGCCAAGGCCTTTTCTGTCCCTCACAGCACCCCACCAGTGAGCAGGCTGGGGGTGCACAGGGAGCTGGAAGGGGACACAGCCAGGACAGCTGAGCCCAACTGACCCCAGGGATATCCCACACCATGTGGAGTCATGCTCTTCATGTAAAGGTGGGGAAGAAGAAGGAAGGAGGGATGTTCAGAGTGATGGCATTTGTCCTCCCAAGCAATCCATGAGAACATTACTCAGACCCACCTCACACATACTTTTTCAGTGGTTATTTTCACCAGATTTTCTTTCAGTAACAGATTGTCTGAGCCTCGTTCCTTCTGTCTCTTGCCAAAATAGCAGCAAGTTTAATTTTATTCCTGCCCCAAATTGTGGCACAACTGGCAATGTGTAAACACCCAACAGCCTGCTCTCCATTTGTGACAGCACTCCTTCTCCCTAGAAGAGGGGGTGCCAGCTTTGCAAAGTTAAAGTCCAGGTTACATACTGGCTGAAAATGAGATTGTTAGGGGAGAAGCAGGGGCCATGTCATTCTGCTGTCAGTTATTTTGAATTTGGTGGCATTTATTTTTAAATGGAGGCCTTTTGGCTCTTCAAGATATGATCCAGGTCTGCTTGGCATCGACGAAGAGGGTATCACTTGCCCAGACAGCATGTGCCAGTGCTTTGCTGTCCTTGTGTTGTAAAGATTTCCTGATACTAACCAAAAATGCGCCTTCCCCACAGCAGACCAGTGGCAGTTGGTCCTACTCACAGCAAACATGAATGTCCTGGTTGGGAGGTCTCCAAGCTGAAGACAACAGGGAGCTGGAGTGCTGGGGGAGATTATTCTTCATATACTTGCCCTGTTTCCTTACTTCCCCAGACATCCACTTTGGTGCTGTCAGAGATGTGATCCTGGGAGGCAAGCTTTCAGTCTGATGCACTACAGATATTTTTAGGACACAAAATCCAGATTACTATGTTCTTTACAAGGGCCTTTTCTGTCCTTGAGGTATGTTACTAATGCTTCCCTCCTGCAGGCTGCACAATTCCAATATTTTTAGCTTTCCTTCACAAGACAGGAGCTCAGAGCTCTCATCTGCATCCTCTGAACTCCCCCTTGTCTCCATCCTGTCTTCCTGGGGGCACATTACTCACAGCTGAACACAAGCTGCAGCGGAGTCACCAGCAGTGCTGGGGACCATGGAGGGGTTAATCCTTATGTCTTGTAGATTTAGTCCTCTGCCCACCCCCAGGGTGTTGCTCTTCTCAGCAGTGGGTCAGCACATCTGACTCATGCTGCTCTCTGATTCACCCCAACCCCTCTCTGCAGAGCTGTTGCCCAGACACTTGCTCTCCATCCCATATCTGCAGCTGGCTATCCCCACTTAAGTGAAGGGAAATATGCCTGTATATGGGTGCAACGGCTACAAATCTACCTGAACTCCCAACAGCCTGATACAATCCCGAGGACTCTGCCAGGCAGGAAGGGTAGGTAGAGAAAGGATGCAGAAAGATAAGATGAGTGTGTTGCACAAACTCAAAACATGCTAGTGAGTCTCCCAGCACACAAGCAGACTTTGATTGCTGTTTTGGAATGTGTTCCTTCTTTCATTTTTACAGTTTATTATTTTGCATCTTTAATTTGACCCCACACTGAAGATCCAGTTTTTGTCATACCAGTTGTGGACACTGCAAACCCCCTCGTTTGAGGGCTGAATTAGTAGATCTCCTGTATTCAAATATTGAAGCCATAATGTGGACTCCTAAGACTAGTACAAAAAAACATATTCAAAAGCGACTAAGCAATGAAGGTTAATGCTAAATTTAATCTTCATTTCAGCTGGAATATTTTTAATGAAAAAGTAGAAAAATGTACGTGCTTTCTATCAACAAGTGTAGAACTCTCTTCCTGCTCCTTGACAGTGCTCAAGCGTATAGGAACAGAGAGCAGTTGTGACTCCAGGGAGGAGGCATTTTGGTACTAGTAGCAAGGCTTGTAAAAAATGACAAGTTTGGTAGTTGACACGATAGGAAAAACATGGATCTTGTGCATGAAGAAGAGAAACAATTTGAAAATGCTAAAATGTCTGTGGTTGGGCCAGCCCTGGAAAGACTGGGAAAGAGGCCCTGTGGCCAGCTGCACTGTGTATGTTATTTGAATTGCCCAGTTCTCTGTTTAGACCAACCAATGTGAGTATTTTTTGTGCTCTCTACCACACATCATCTTGTCTCTCTGTAACTTTACCATACAATATGCTTGACTCACAAAAGAGATCAGTGGTGGGGCAGGACTGGATGCAACAAAATAGATTAGAGAAGAAGTAATTTTCCAAAGGACAT